GTTTTTTTAGTCCTGTAGTCCATGACAAAAACTGTGGTGTGAATTTGGCTTTAGACATTAACACAGACAACAGGGGTTTACAGCAGTAGTCTGTCTAGTGATTTAGCACAGTTTTTAACCTGGACGCCCTTCCTAACATAACATAAACATAAACTTCCCTGTGGTTTACTAATGTTACGTAAGTCAAGTTGAGTAGTTGGATTTGAACCCAAAACTTATTGCATGGTAGTCAAGAATCCTACTAAATGTCAGCCACAGTAGAAAAATGAGACTGTAGCCTGCAACCAAGACTTGATAAACAGTCTGGTGGGGGTATTTTCTCTAGAATTTGAGAAATGCTGAGCTGCAGAATTAACAGCTTTCACAAACCATTTGTTTCTATAGTAAAAATAAAACTGGCATCTTATAGACATATTCAGCTGCAGTGGAATAGGTTTTAAAAAGGTTACATTCGTTAACAAACACATAAATTCAACTCCAAGGAAAAGCTTTTCATAAATGAGACTGGGTTATGTCTAACTATTGCCTTCCCTCAATAAGTGGCCCTCTGTGGTGTGTTTTTTGTTACATAAAACTGAAGGGAGTGTTATCAAAACAAGCCAGTGGCTGTGGGAGCAGAGGGTCAGGGTCAGAGGCTTGACTGAGGGCTCGCACTGTTTGGATGGCGGTGGAAGGAGGGAGAGTGCAGTAGATGTACGTGCAGCAAGAGGAGCTGTGATCTAAACACTGAGGTCATGAGAGGGAGAGAGAGAAAAAGAACAGTTTGTCTCAGCGTTGGCTCTGCAGGTACACACTGTGCTACAGCAGCTGATAAAGACACACATCTTAGAACATCCACCCAGCCCCCCGTTGTACCTCCACTACCTTTATGTGTGGTTAATCTGCTCGGCCCTGATGTAAGTTACAAGGTGCCAGGATGACTGACTCTAAACAGGTAAAAACACAGGTGCTGCAGTCAGGTGATCTACATAGCCCCTCCCCTTTAGTCTTTCTGTACAATATGTGGGTTGGCTAAAGTGCAAAATGGGCAAACAGAAGAGCTGAGGGGAAGGGGTTTGAGAAGCAATACTCAGATGAAATTAGCTTTCATTTGGTAACTGTTAGATCAGGAGAAAATCATTAGTGGAAGGTAGAGGGGAGAAAGCAGTGAGGGTGGGGGCCGAGCTATATTAAGAAATGTGTAGCAAACGAAAAGAAAAGATCCTTAAAAGGAGAGAAAGGTAAACACAAAGGGATGTTTTTAAATGTGCCAAAACCAGCAGGAAGGAGAAGAGTGTGCTCACTGGTGACTGACTGACTGTGTCGGTGTTCCTGGGTGGAGCATCTGTGTCTCCTCACATCTCTGTTCTCTTAAATTCCTTTTGAAATCAGTACACTAAATTTAGCAACCAGCACCCCTCCCCCTTTCCTTTGAGAGGTATCAGAGCTGCTGCAGCCTGTGATAGGCTAACATTTTTGATGTGCACAGTCCACACACTGTGTCTTTGTGACAGAGTGAGGGTTGTCGGTGATAAATTGTTGCTGTGCAGCCAAAGAGCTTTATGTAACATGTCTGTTCATGTGCGTGCGTGCGTGCTTGCATATGTGTTTAATGGTGTGTGTGTGTGTGTGTGTGTGTGTGTGTGTGTGTGTGAGTGAGTCCTGCTGTTATGGGGCTGACACTAATGACAGTGTGGGCTCTCTGATGATGCTGTCTTTGTCCAAATTCATTTAACTCCATTAAACCCTGCCCACCTTCCTAGTTTACAGGGATGACATCACAGGCAAAGTTTGGCATTGTTAAAGTGTATGTGTCACTGTGTAGGTAGCACCTAGTACGAGATTTAGGTACAGGAGCTTAGCCCAACTGTGCCAGGAACGATCACTGTCATTCAGCAAGACTTGATTCAATAGGAATTTACGTATTTTCTAAATGTGTTCATTTGCTCTGCCCTGGACTGGGAGGTTTTTCTGAAGATGTTTCAACTCTCATCCAAAAAGCTTCTTCAGCTCTAACTGACTGCTGGGAAGTTTCTGGTATTTAAGCTACCTAGTAGAGGCTGAACACCTGAAAGAGAGGGTAGAGATTAAACGGGAGTGACCACACCCATAAAGGGGGAAGATGTTGTGATCACAAGGCTTGATGTGTGGCTGAGGCGTCATTAGGAAATAAGAAAAAACTAATATATGACAAATGTGTCAGTTAGATGATCTAAAGACGGGAACCAGATTCAATTGTCTTAATTGTCTTTGCACGAGAACAGTCTATAACAGTCTCTAATTTGAGTGTATGCCAGACTAAATGAGTTAACTCTCACACTCAGCCTGATGTTAAGATGTTAAGTCCATTCAGGTGGATTTTATTGCATTTGCTATTTTTTTTGTCAGTTGCAGAGGACTGTCTACTGAAACTGTTTGGCAGCATCCTGTTATTGGTGCTTTCACTGAGTCAGTGTGAGAACTCGTAGCACCTGCTGGTACTTCTGCTTGTGCGTGTTTTTTTGAACCAGTTGTCCCACGTGAATTAGATAGAGTACCTGAAAGTCCAGTTCAGGTGGGAGCTAATCGAAGGCTTTTCTCACCAGCTATAGAAAAGTAAACAGTAGTTTAGTTGAATATCATATGTCAGGAATGTGGCCCTGCAGGTCTTTGATCAACCAATCGGCTTCCAAGTAACGTCACGAGGCCTGGGAGCAAAAGCCAGGTTTCTGAAGTATTGCTGAAGTTCACAGTGAATCACCGATGCAGGTCATTAAATGTTCCATTAACAGTAACCTGTCCCATCGACTGAAATGATTTCTCAGTGGCTTTAAACTTACTCGGTGCATGCCACTAGAATAAATGCAGTGATCCAGATGTGTCTGGTGATAAGTTGCCATCTGATCTGCTCAGAATGACTATATCCAACTTATGTGTGTAAAACTAATACATAAATAAATCAGAAACAGTAGCAAGAAATTCTTCCATTAGCTCCGTACAAGCGAGAATCCAGTGTCTTCCATGTCTAAAGGTCAGACTCTGACCCTGTTCAGAACACATGAAGGTCTAAGAACCCTAATCTACCCTGAGTAGTGCTATAGTATTACTATGGTCTTCTGCAGTTTCTCTTTGAATTAAACTTTTTTCCCCCAGTATTCATTCAGTCACAAGCTGTAAATACTGTAGTGAAGAAAAGCTCACACCTCTTACTCAATAAAACCACACTGTTTCTAAACAGTCATTTAATGATGGCTTTGAATAGTTATGGATGGTCCCTCGTTCTAACAGTCACTGCAGGCTGCCTTGTTGCAACACTAAAGCAGTTATTCATGTCAGATGTAGGTTTTACAACAACTGTGATTGGTGGCTGCTGCCAGTGTGGGCCAATCATTAGGAATGCTTGCATGCACAGTGATGTCAGTGTATGATTTAAACATGTGGACTGTTACACTATAACAGATCAACTGAATCAGCTGATTGACAAATGATTGTCTGGTCATCGTTGAGCAGGAGTGACAGACTCACTTTCAGCATCTTTGTATTAAATCATTTACATTTTGTCTTTTTTTGAGTAAATGAATGGGTGGCATGTGGTGTATTTCAAGGCTCTATATTTATAATGTACTCTGCCCCCTTTAAATGTATGAAATTGCTAAGGCCGTGGTTCCCATACTTTTTCTGCAGCGCCCCCTGTTGTAGATAGGATTATTGTAGAATCCACCAGATGGCAACATTCACAGCTTCTTATTTAAAACACTGTGATCCCCCTGAAGAGAGGATAATAGACAAGTCAGCAAACGAGTCGACGAGTAAAAATACCAGAGACGGTGTGGTCAACATTTACTGTTTCACTAGAAACCATCTGCAGTGTATTGTGGGTGGATCTTTCATTAGAAGGCTAGAGGGTAGAAGTGGAGTGTATTGTCAGTGTAGCTGTTTTTCACTACTTATAAATAAATAAATGTAAACACTTAGGTTGTGTTGTCCTCATTTTTACTCAGGATTGTGGAGGACTGTACAGGCATGGATTTCACACAAACAGACGAGTATATAAGTCGAATAAAGACAGCAGCATCTGCTTCTTAATCTTTTGGCTGGTCTCTTCATTTGTCCCCAAAGCCAACATTAATGTATTCATTTCTGCCACCTCGAGCTTTTTCCTTTTATACGTCACATATACGTCAATATGTGCAATAACCTATGTCCCTGTGTGTGCGTATGTTCCAATCCCGTGTTATGTTTTTGCCCCGGTGTTTCTACAAGTTCCTACCCCGTGTGTTAATGCTCTTACCTGTGTTGTACTTAGATGTCCTTATCTTGTGTCGCACTACTCCTGCACTGCCTGCACTGTTCTATTCCCCCGTTCTCCCTCTATTCCTTACCTTATTCCCTGTAGTAGTATCGCATGCTGCTAGTACTGTGTGTTCTATGTTACCCCAGCGAGTCTACGGTTCCCCCATCCCAAGCATTTCATTGCATTGTAGACCCTGTGTTGAAAGTGCATATGACAAATAAACCCGATCTTGAATCTTGAATCTTGAATCTTGAGTCTTGAATCTTTCACGACTATCTTTAAACCATACATCATAGCAGGTCTCACTGCCATGTTAAAACAATTTGCTTAGAAATCTGCTGTTATTCTTCTGCCACAAATCACCCCTGACCCTCACCTTCATCCATTCCAACATGTCTGGACCACTTTTTCAGTCATTTATGGTTGTAGAAATGTCTTCCACTATAACCTTCTGTTACAGCAATACTGTTGTGACTCGTTCCCGTTGAGGAAGTGGGTTTTAACCTCAACTGCCAGACGAAGTAACCACGATCGGTTAATCTGTAACACAGGACAGTAAAAGAATGAATAATGTCTTTGTACTAAACACACTCTTCTCCTAGTCTCCACTGAGTTGAAATGGGATTTATATAGTGTATTGGAAACGTACTGTGAGGTGTGATCAAATGTGATGTGTGAATGAAGTGTGTGTCCATAACCTCCATAAGAACATGTTGTGACTCCTCTTTGTATCCTTCTGCAGCAGTGACAGCCCTTACTAAATCACCCAGTCTCCTGGCAACCAGACGCCAATCAGCACGCAGGATCTCCTTCTGTAGTAACCACAGTGTGGGGCGTGACCAATCCCACACACAGCCAGGTAACACATGACTGTTCGAGATTCATGAGTTTCATTTGTCACAGGATTGTTATACAGGTAGAACAAATGTTATCCTGTGTATGATTTTTTTTTTTTTTCAAAAATTAGGTTAATTGTCTGACATGTGAAAAAAATGGAGAAAATTGTGAAGCTTTTTTTGTTTTTCATTTTAAATTTGTGTGTTAGTGTTTTTAAATATGATGAATGGACCGTGAAGGAAGTTCCATGCTGTTTAACTTTCTTGTTATTGATTCCTGTGTACACAGGTGTTGGTTGCACCCATGGGTCCAGGTGAGAGCTCTGGAAGTCACATGTTGCTTGGTGGCAGCCCTGGTTTGAGCTCTGCCATGGCCTCTCAGTTCATGGGACCACAGTCGTATAGAGAAGCTGTGTCTAAAGGCTACGGACATCCAGTCATGTACGGACGTCCCAGCCCCACGTACAACCCTGCCTCGGCCTATGGTGGAAAGTAAGACCTGCTGTTTTTTCAGTAAACCAGAACGCATCGAGCTGCATCAATGTTGCCTAACATTTGTAGGTGTGAACTAAGATGAGTACAAGATTTATGGACCAGACACAGTCAAATATAAACAGTTACAGTTCTACTTCATTTGGTACCCCTTTGTTCATGACTGTGTTTTTTTTTTTTTTTTTTTTTATTGTTGTACCATCTCCTACCCCCATACCATCTCCTACCCCCAATATTTGTATCTGTTTTCGATATTTCAAGATGTGAAAATACTTTTTCTGCTACAGTTTTTAATATAAATATAATCCAAGATCTAATATAATGACCACAAACAATTTTGTTTAACATTGAAAAAAGTATTGCTCATGCCAGTCCTTGACCCCATTCATTTCCTGTGTGTTATACTGATGTAACTTGTTATTTATCCTGCTGCCACATCAGGATCTCAACACTACAGTACATCAGTGTGTCTCCTGCTCACCTGTCTCTGTCTGATTAATGCTCCATTCACACTTGGCTTCACACACCTCTCCCTCTGCCTCTTTACTCAGCAGTTACTCAGGTAACAGTGGGGCTGCAGGTCTGGGTGTTCGGCCTCCGTCAGACTTCACACAGGCCGCTGCGGCTGCCGCCGCG